TCCCATAATAAATTCATTTTATCTAAGGTTCTGAGTTAATCTCGAACCAGATGGCTAGAGGAGAAGAGCGTTGATTCATGATGGCGAGTCCCGCAGTGGCTTCGCGTGAGAGGTCGTGTCTAGGTACGGATCCACCGAAGTAGAGCAGAGGTCCACGATCCAACGTTCCTTTTTGAGCATGGTACGGTCTGAGGCTTAATCGGTCAGTCGATCCCTCATCCTTCTTCAGGTACGTCTAGTGCTTCGTCATCTGCTCAACGACCAGTACTGCCGCCATCACATCCTTCTTCAGGTACGTCTGCGGCTTGATCCTCTGCTCAGCGTCCAGTAATGCCGCCATCACAGCCTTCTGCTCCTTCCTCTTCTACCCCCGTTTCTGGACCATTACAGACTCCACTAGCTGCACAGTCACCTACTGTGCAAGGTAATCATAAATGTCATAACTGTCATTTTAATTATATATTAATTATCTACAAATTTATAACATTTCTCACTTCTTTTGCAGCTTCATCAGATCCACGTCAGATCCTGTATACTCCTCAGTTGTTAAGCGGCGACAAGTAGTTAACTTATTTCCAGATTTCTGTAAGGCATATTTTGTAATCTAAATTTTGTACTTGTTCATCTCTGTGACTTTCGTGTAATTTATATTTCACTTTGTTTTTTTTTTTTTTTTCAGCATATATCCATCTCATCCGAGCAGCGAGGCAAATTTTCTGAAATACATCAAGCTACACGCTGCATAAAAGATGGATCACCATGGGAGGCCGACACCAAGAGGCGAGAGCACTTCTTTATTAGGGGAGGAGTTACCAGTACTGCTTTGGTTTAAGTTAATATCCATCATTCAATGTTTACAATTCAAGATAAATGCCTAGTGTTTAAACAACTATATTTCATTTTTTGCAGACATTTCGATATGGGACCGAGCATTACGGCTATGCTGAAAGTAGCCTGGGAGAAGATATGCGCCGATCGATACGCTGACTTCACCTATAGGATGAGAAGAAGCGGTAAGAAACAACGGTGCGTGTCTCAGGAGATATGGGAGAGCTGGCAAAAGGCTTGGGAGGATCCTGCATTCAAGAGAAAGCGGGAGATGTTTGCACAAAACAGGCGCAGTGAGACTGGCGGGGATGGAGCAGGACCTTCGCGACACACAGGCGGATCTATATCTGCTATAGAGACAGCTCGATTATTAGTAAGTGAACTAGTCCCTTTGCAAGAAACTGATGTTTAATGAAAGGACAATATATATATTAATATATCATGCATAAAAATTCATTACAGGCTAAAGAATTAGGTCGTGAGCCCACACCGATGCCAGCACCAGATGGAGGTGTATACCATACACTCACACCGAAGGAACCATCGATCCGTAATAGCCATTGTCGACAGACTCGGCTGAGCGGTCAATGTAAGTAACAGAGAATAATAATTTTACCATTTGCCCCTAATCTTGGCGAGGATGTACAAAAGTTCAATAATAATAAAAGCTTGCATATGCATTGATTAATTAATTTTTTTATTTTCAGGAGAAATACTACAGCTCGGGACGCGTATTGGTACTTCTCAGACCGATAATCCGAAGCTGAGTCAAAGAATGCGAGTAGCGCTTTATCTCGAGGCTTGTAGGGGGTGAGAAAAGCAGGAGGTATACCGGCCAATCGGGTCTCAGGCATCACAGTTTTTCTACACTGGGCTCAGCAGCTCACAGCTTACACCAGCGCAGCACCGTCAGCGGAGCCACTGGCTCCCCTATGAAATGATGAATAACGGGCTCAGCTTGCTGAAATCCAGCAGACGACAGATTTGCAGAGCTTAGAGCGCATGTGCTGCCGGCTGTCCGGTGAGGACCGTGCTGGTACTATCTCCTCTGATCCTGCGCCTGCTAAACCGACTGTTCCGAGTCCCTCAGCAGCAGCCACTATCGCTTGACCTGATCCCGTGCTGCACGGCGATACCAGTTGGCTCACCCCTCCCTGGCAGCTACATCACCTCAGCAGTACTTGGCTCCGGCGGTTGAACATCTGGATCCTGCAGCATGAGGCACAGCATATATAGATTTGATTTCGACCTTTTATTTTTTTCATTTGTATTTTCATTTTTAATTTGTTCAAACAATAAAAATACTTTTTATACCGTTCTTGAACTTGCGTGTGTGTACTATATGCATTTATGCTCAACTTTCATTCACAGGTGTAGAAAATTATTGGTTTCAAAATAATATTTAATTTTTTTATTCCCTTTTTCATTTTTGCGACCAGTTGCGACCGATTTGATTACCAAAAAAAAAATGTTTTTTGAATTTATAATTTGCGACCGATTTGCGACCGATATTCTCGACAAAAGTTGCGACAACTGAATTTCCCAAATTAAACCACGACCAAATTTGCCGACCGCTTTTTTCAATTTGCGACCGACTTATCCGGTCTCTAAATTTGGCGACCGGATTTTTCTCATCGGTCGCAATTAAACATTTGGCGACTAGTGATTTTGCGACCGACGTTGTCGGTCCGCAAAATCGGTCGCAATCGGTCGCAAAGTATAAATAGCGACCGATTTTTGCCATTTTGCGACCGATTTGTCGGTCGCAAAATGGCGTTTTTTTTGTAGTGGTTTGTTCCTTCAGAGAGATTCAGGTTATTCAAGACGAGTGTAGCAGGGCCTTCTTTCGTGTAAAAGAAAAAGTGTAGCCGATCGTTTAATTTTTTTTTTTTTTTACAAAGTAAAGTTTTAAATATTTAGATAAAAGGAGCAAATGATCAAGGACTTCAGTCTTCGTTAAGGGCCGGAGCTTAAAGAAGCGAATAACCCTAATCCATTCCCATTTTGGGAGGAACAGATCTTTTACTTCTCCATCTCTGACTGAAATAAAGGCAATCACTGTTAAGATGTTGAAGTTATTATACTGAATGTGGCCTAAACTATTATTTATTTGCAAAATTAGCTTTTAATAGCGTTTAGTCGTTAACTGTTTGAATAATTTTTTATGAAATGTATAAAGTTAAATGTTATACGAGTTAATTTTTGTTACCTTAACCATACTGTAAAAACTAACTTTTAGCGTTTTAACTGAAATTACTTTAAAAAAATTATTGCTAAACACAATCTAAAAGTGAAAACTACAAATGCTGATAATTGCATAGGAAAGGTCAATCTATTTAATATTAAATCTACCGTCAACTAATGGTTTATTAAATATGTTGACTTCTTCTCAACAGAAAATTAAGCTTTCGCATTTTTTATATACTATAAAAATTAATTGTCAGGATGAAATTCAAAAAATCAATTATCTCAAGTATTTATCAATTTAGTGAGTTAAGTAAATTTTATCTTTATTGTGTAACTCGCATTATTATAATAATAATAATAAATGGATATGAAGGTATGAGTTTTTTATTTTTTATTTGTAATTGAGGATATTTTGGATCATCTTACAGACTCAAACTAAATTTCCTCCTTAAATTATTCTAAGAGAAAATTTATTACTTGGTCAATGTATTGAAAAATATTATTTATAAATTGTTGTTCAATATATGGAACTCTAATTGATAAAAAAATAAAAAATAAATAAAACTCCCATCATTATTAACTGAAATAATCAATTTTTTCTTTTGAAAAGAAGCTGAAATAATCAATTACAATTGCGGAAGAAAAGATATAACTATGATTTGTATTATAGTATTTAAATTGGAGGAAGTCACGTCAATTTCTTATAGGGGCCGCTTCTTCATATTGGCTTATGATTATGTTATGAAAGGAGGACTAACGTTTTATCATATGTCCGAAGTCGACAACAGCATATCGACATATATATATATCACACATTCACTACAACAATTAATGCTTTTCACTGACGTCAAAAAACAATTTACCGTCTCGAAAAGTAAGTAATTCGTCACCAAAGGTTACAATAGTCCAACACTGGTTACAATAGTCCAAGAGCAACTCATTCAAGTGTATGGGACTAGAGTCCAAGTTACCGTCTACTGAAAAAGCTCAGACAATCAAAATCACAATATTTTACCACATTAAGTAAAAAATATAAAAATAAAAATAAACCAAGTCTAAAGAACCTATCTTGATGTCTTGGAACCAAAAGTTCGTAAGTTCTATCCCTCCCATTATTTAATTAGTCTGTTTAGTAAAATTAGCTATTTTGGTATTTGTTATAATTATGTTCTTTTGGGTGTAAAAGTGGATACACAACGCTGAAGCATAATCTCCACATAAAATTGGCATTTACAATACAAGATTAAAAAGATACTGATAATTTATATTGAGTTTGCAATTCTTAATGAAGCAATGAGCAACCGAGATAGGATGCAGCAATGAGCAACCGAGATAGGCATACCGATTGGCCAGAAAGAGCTTAGTAACTATCGGCTAGACTGAACCTGTAGAGTTCCCGTCAGGTTGGACAGAAGATACAGATCCTGGAATAGGGCTTAACAGTGCGTTGGCTAAGCCCCTCGCAGCCGGACGACCGCCTTAAAGACAATTCCATCGGGGCGACGGATAGAATCTTTTGCAGACCTGACTTAAGTTAAAGTTACATGTTACATAGTGAACTTCCCTAAAATATTACTTTAAAATGAGCAACCGAGATAGGCATACCGATTGGGCCAGAAGAGCTTAAACTATCGCCTAGATGAGCCTGTAGGAGCTTCCCGTCAGGTGGACAGAAGATATCAGATCCGGAATAGGGCTTAACACGTGCCGTTGGCTAAGCCCCTGCAGCGGACGAGCCGCCTTAAAGTACAATTCCCATCGGGCGACGGATAGAATCTTTTGCAGACGACTTAAGTTAAAAGTTAAATGTTACATAAGTGAACCTTTCATAAAATATTACTTTAACCTCTAAAAGTCAATTCATGTGTTGCCCTAATTGGTACTGTAGTGTATTGATTGATAAGTGTAGAGTATGCTGAAATTGTAATATTGTAAAATATAACATTCTACTATAATATCTCTGAAAAAAATAATTAAAAAAAACATATCAGGAAATTAACAAAATAACTTTCATTACAGAATTTAGTCTACAAAATGTGGATCCAAATCAAGTCATGATTGGGTTTATCATCCCTTAATTAGTCAACAACAAGAACTTAAAAGAAACTACATTTACTGGTATTCTAGTACTTGTAGAATCTGTTGCAAAACAGAGGACAATCACACAAGAGACAGATTTTGTCATACATTGTCATTTAGATTCACTAAAATGGAACACTATAACAAGGGAATTGTTACATTTAGTTTATTCATAGTATTATAACTTTTCAAGCCTTATAATATGGAGCTGTTAGAGAGATGTGTGTGATTAGGAAATAAATTAACACTCTAAACATCTATCTTGCTTTCATCATTCTTTCAGAAATTTGAAGTTATTATATGAAAAACAAAAATAATGGTAGAACCCAATGGAGGATAGAATTGCCTCCAAAACTACGATAAATCAGAACAAGAATGATGTTGCAGCTAGAAGGCATCCAAGAAGCAAAAGATCAGAGATTAAAACATGAGAAAATCCGCAAGTGATAAATTTGCAAGAATGGTATAACATGACTTCACCTGAAAAAGTGATAAATTTGTTTAATTTCAAAAAATGAAAATTAGAGAATTAGTCCATATGCACACTAAATGTATCACAAAATTATTTATATAATCATCTTGCTCATTATGTGCTAGCCATAATTCATTTACAGCAATCAATTCACTTAGATGAAAAGAAGTTAATAAAAATTTTGATTTTTTGAATCACTAAAAATCAGCAAATAACCATTGTCTAAAAATCAATAAATGTAAAAAAGCATGATACTGCAAAAACTAAAATGAACGACATCCTGGACCTGAAGGAGTAAACTTAAACTTCATAAGTTTGCCTCAAGGTGATTTCAAACATAACTGAAAGTTAAAAATATCCAGTATTCATAAACTTCAGAAAACAACACTTGAAAACCTACAAAATAATCACAACTAAACAGACCTTAAACTTAGAAATATAACCCACTAAATGGGGCATGCATTTTAAGACATAGCTCTCCATATTTATCAGTCTACACAGTTGCATTTTAAGTTACATGCTCTGTTCCCTTTTATTTTTTTCTTCCTTTTCCTTTGATAAATAGCAGTCTTACTAATAAACAGACGTATAGTCAGGCTAGAAGAATTAGAGTTTAAGCAACAGATCTAAGTATCTAACTAAAAGAAGGCCCATAAATTGTAGAACTAACAGAAATCCAAGGAAAAAACAAATTAAAATAATCCATATACAAGGGAAAACATCAAAAACCCAAATGAATACCAATTTAACATATTTATTGATGGATAGAAGTATAGAAATTAAACATCAGATCAAGCCACAAACTTCTCCACTTTGTACACTACTTGTTTTACCAAAGAGCTTATAAAGTGGAAGAAAACACATTGTACCAATGAATATATACGATAACTAATCCAATCCCAAAAGACTTTTAGCAACAATTAAAACAATGAATAATAACAAAAGGAGAAATCTCTAAATTACTCACCAAACAAGAAGGACAAATTGCAGCACTTAACAGAAATAAATTCAATAAATAGCAGCAACTTGAAACCTGCATTCAATTCAACACCACTTTAATTCGTGATGATATGATTAGAGCTTCCCAGACAGACTTTCTAAAAATTGATCCAAAGAATGAAAAGGAATAGTGTTAAAAGGCAAATACTTGCTCATTATTCTAGTCTTCTCCAATTAAGTCAATCCTGAGAAGCGGCAACTCTCCAAACCGAAATCCTGAAGAAAATTGAACAAATTAGATTCTATTTGATAAACCATAGGTTAAGCAAGAAATACAAAACCGATAATTTGATGAGTTACCTGCTTAGATAATCTGTCCAAATCTTCAATGGAGAAGAGATTATTCCCGTCCCAGCATTAGGTGAAGGTGATAGAAGTGGTTTTGGCGAAGGCAGGTGGCGGTGGGTAGCGGAGATTCTGGTTATGGATAAGAAAGATTCCGGCAATGGTATGCGAGGCGCCAAGCGAAAACCGGGGGCGGGAAATTTTCAGCTCATACTTTTTGATGGCAAAAGTAAATTCATAAAATTTGTTAATGATATATAGATTATTAAAATTTTTAAAATATAAATTTGAAATATAATATATATTATTAAACAATAAAAAAGACATTAAATTACCGTTTCACCCATTACAATCCTTTGTTTTTTTTTCCCCTTGAAGGGACATCACCCAATTTTCTTTTTGGTCGTTTTAAGCTTTTTTGATTCATAATTATTAATTTGTGTCATGAATTATTGTGCCAATAATAGAGGAATTGAGTTTTTTTTATTATTAAAATTATATCATGATTCGACTTTTTAATTTCTTATTTTATCATATTATATCCCCAACATAAAAAAGGAAAAAAAAAAACAACTTTGCAACACCATCCTTCATATTTCATATATAATTTGAAAGTGAATTTTTCTTATTTCTTTATTATTCTTTAGGTTTTTCCCCTAAAAAACTTTTTTTTTAATCACTAAAAAAACTGAATTTAGTGAATGAATTGATATGATGAAAAAGTAATTTTTAATAAAAATAGATAAATAATTTAGTAATTTCTTATTTTATCATACATGATCATTAATATTATTATTCCAATAAAATATTTATTTTATTTTTTATATTTATAGTTTCATGTGTCCTGAAAGATTTCAAAATTAACTATTCATTATTTTTTAAAATGTTTTATGACCACGTGAAAGTAATTGGATTTTTAAAAATTAAATTAAATAGTACTATTAAAATGCTAATGCTACGTTCAGGGATAATTTTTATCAATTTAATTCACAAAATAATAAATATATAGTGTCAATATAAATCAATAGAGCATAAAAATTCTTGCTCAACCTTTTTTTTTTTTCTTTTGAGTAATATTCTAATAACTCAAACCTAATAATCAAAATTCAAAATACAACATAATTGCAAAAATACCGCCGCCCACTTGCGCCGTACTCTAACTAACAAAAGAAAACAAACTGAATATCAAACTCGTTGTCGTAGAAGAGGATGAGGTGATGAGGTGGACCTTGACTATAACGTGTCTTTGCGCCCCTATTAATATTTATTTATTATTACATTGGCCCAGTTCTTAGGGATGATGGGGGCCCCCTTGTCCAACACTACCCACCCCCCTTCTAGGCCCACTTAACATCACCACATATCGTGTGATTATTTTTAATTCCAATCTCTCTATTGTAAAATATTAATATTAAATAAATAATGCAAAAAAAATATTTTTAATATTTTTAATTTGATGATAAAATGGTATTCCAAATTAACAATTTTTTACGTACGGCATTATATTTACCTTTCAAGGGTTTGAAATCTAAAATTACCATTACTAAGAGGAATTTATTAGAAATGAAATAAATATAAAATAAGAAAAAAGGTAAAATTTTAAATATAAAAAGTAATAACCAAAAAATAAATAAAAAATAAAACTAAAAGTGAAATGAAATAAATATAAAATAAGAAAAACTGTAAAAATTTAAAAAACATGCACTATATGCTATCATGTCTCACAACCCATCATCGTCATGTCATTTACCAAAATGAAAGACAAGATTGACTGCTTATATGATTCATGGTTCCATTTTCTGTTCTTATTCATCACTTTACTATTTGCTTTCTTTCTTTCTTTCTTTTTCTTTTTTTAAACCAATATATATATATATGTAGGTCAATGATTGGCTACTTATCTTATAATACTTATATGCAATTGAAAATTCAAATTTGTTGTTACCTTCCACCTTTAAGAATTAATTTGATTATATATAAATTCACTGCTAACTTTATACATGTAATTTCACTTTAAATTGTATTTTCTGTAGTCATAAGATTGTGAATTTAAATTGTATCCGGTAAAATATAATGTAATATAATTAAATGTATTTTTATATGAATAAAAATATTTTTAAACTTAAAAATTATTTAGAGTTCAAATAATAATCGACTAAAGTTCAATTTAAAGGGCTAAATTTGAAATGTTTGATATTTGTAAAGAAAAAATTGTGTATTTTGCGAGACAAACAATGTCATTTCAAACCCTAATTCAATTTCCCCGCCTACAACGCTATTTGTTTTGTACAAAAATTGTCATATCATTGCAGCCAACTTATGAAAATGGTCAATGTCATTTTTTAAAAAATAAAATTTATATGATTTTAAATTTATTTGTCTTTTTGTACATCTAAAATGAAAATAAATATTTTTCCATGTAGCACTTGATTGAAAAACAGAACTCTAATGATTTCTTTCTAAATCAAAAATAGTTATTCTTTTTTCCTATTCCTTTTTCAACTCCTTTTGTTTTAAACAAAAGAAAACTATTACATAAAAAAAAAAATCTAATTTCTAAAATACTAACATCAATTTTAATTAAAAGTTCAAATCAAAGAAATAATATATAATCTTTATAAAAAATCTCTCTTTTTTTGTTATTATTATTATTATTATTATTATTATTATTATTAGTATTTGATTTGTGATGAATTAATGTATAGTGTAGAAAAAATCTAGGCAACATGGACAATAACAATGATGATGATAACATATATGGATTAATGTAGAACAAAGAAAGAACACAAAGATTGGGGGACCATAAACAACCCATACCTTTATTTACCAATAAAATAAAAAAGGAGATCTTGATCACATGCCACCATGTGATGGGGATGGGGTGCTCTTGTAAATTTCCCTCCTTCCCATTTTTCCATTGAAAACTTTTTTTTTTTAAAAAAAACTATAATTTTCCAAAATTTAATTAATTATTAATTAATTAATTAATTAAGTTTTCTCCTTTACCAATCTGAACTGTTTTTGTAGGTACCCCACTGCGCACTCACTAGTAAAGTATGCCTTTCAAGAGTAAAATGCGCTCTTGTGAGTGAAGTGAACCCTACTCACCCCTTCTCTATAAAGCTGCTTCAAAGAGATTATACATGGTAGAGTGGTCCATGGGATTTTGTATGGGCTTGCTCTTTTATTTTCCCCTCTCTTTCTCTCTCTGTTGCTATTTTTTCAGTGCAAGAAAGAAAATTTAGAAAGAAAGGAAAGGAACGTGAGATCTGAAGAGAATTTGAAGGAGTTTCTTGATGGCGATTTAATTCTTGCAAGTCCTGGTCATGCTATTCCACAGCTTTCTTGAACTTTCTTGAACTACTTTCTTGATTTCTTTCTTTGTTTTTGGTTTTTGAAGATCTTTTCACCAGTAGAATCATGAAAGCTCAAGAAAGCTGTGGGAGAACATGGCATTTTTCAGGATTTTTTCTTGTATCTATTGTGTGTTTGGATAAATATTCTTGGCTCTTTCTTTTCCTGGAAAAAAAAAAACAAAAAGATCTCAACAAACCGCAATTCCAGTTCTTGCTGATGAAGGCCAATTGAAGCTGCTTCAACCCTGCATGGACTATGGTAACTCTCTTACTCTATATCACTTAATTATAATTAGTCAAACCCATTTTTGGATTTTCTTTTTCGCTTAATTACCATATTTCATGAGAATTCCATGAAGAAAAATGGTTTTAATGGTGAATTATGATGTGGGTTTTAGTCATTTATAAAAATTGATTGAAATCTTTGAATTCTTTGTGGAAATTTGGAAACATTTAGATAGTTTTTTGCATGCATGAAATTAAAATTAGTAGAAAAAAATTTGAGAAAATTGGGATTTAAGTGATTAAAAGAAAAGAGAAGAAGAAAGAGTTATAGTGTGTGCGAGAGTGCAGAGAAGATTCCCTAGGTTTCCTTTTTATCGTCAATGATGATAGTTCTTCCTGTTGGCCTTTTGGTTTTGCTTCTAACATCATCTCCTACATTTCCGTGAAAAAGGTTAAACTTTGTCACTTTGTGACATCATTTTTTTTAACCACTCTCCTTCAATCTGACATCAGTTTTTTTTTTCATCTTTTTTATTTAATAAAATAATATTAATTTACCCTTCCTACCCATTCTCCTTAATAAAATTAACTGAATAAACAAAATTTTGAGGGATCTCCACAGCAGTGGTAGTTGAGAGAAAATATATAAAAAATATATTATTATATCATAATTGACATTTCCTAGCTGTATAACTGATGATCTCAACTGTCCACTCAGCAGTCAGCACAATTATTCTTCTATTTTCTCATTTTTAAATAGAATTATTTTATTCTAAGGTTGTAGCTCAACCTTGTACCTGTGCATTGAACTTGTTTAACAGAGTCATATGTTAATTATTCATTCTAGATTCCAAATTATATTTCTTAATTTCATGATTATTTGTCAATTATTTGTCTGTATTCATGGATTTGAAATTTGTTTAATGTTTTTAAAAATTGTGAATATTATAAATGAACAATTGCAATGTATAATATTTCCTATGTACCATAATTTATGCTCTAAAAAATTTAGTTAATATAGGCAAACTATAATTTTAAATTTTCTATATTAAATTGTTCTTGAAATTAATGAAAATATAATCAAACATTTGATTGAACAAAATTTTATTGAAAAATTACAGATTAATATACTAATTTTGTTGATATAAAGATTTAATTAATGAATATTTCAATTATTATATTTATTGATAAAGAAACAAATTAAATAAGAGTAAAAATAGTAAACTTTAAAACAACAATTTGGGAAGGATGAAAAATGAAAATAGGGCAAAAATTATAGAACGGGGGAATAATATTTACCATTTTTTGGGATAATTACCTAATTTATAATATATAATTTTTTTACTAATTAATTTTAGGGCGCATAATTTCATATTTTAGCCTAATCTATAAATATCTATTTCTTTTTTCATTAAATATAGCTTATATCACTACTGCTATGGTCTTAATTACATGTTGGCTGGTTTTGACAAAATGGGTGTTATGCAATTAAGGGTTATTAGTTGCCTCACAACTAAGCATTACTACTATTAATTCATACTATACCCTTTTTTTTCATAGCTAGTCATTATTATTAATTAATTGCAGATCAAATATAGTTTAATTATAATTAAGATACAAATTTAAGAGAATGCATTACCTTTTTTTTTTTTCCGAAGCATATCGTTGTTTTTTTATATTATAGAACATGAATAATTCGATTACTAATTTAGTTTAATTTTGGAATAAATTATCAAAATTTAAATTTGAAGTGTGTTTATATATATATATATAGATTCAAGCAATGATTTAATTAGTACAATTTAGAATTTAGGAGGTGAATGTTTCTAATGGATGGTGATGATTAAAGTTGGGTTACAAAAAGGTGGCATTAAAGAGAAATAATGAAGCTTTGTTAAGGGAATCTTTCCCTAATACAAGCAATGAAGTGAAAGCTCATAAGCTAATGTTTAACCAAGGAAATGCAACTAGTGGTGAAAGGGTAGGTCCACCAAAAATAAATAAATAAATAAATGAAATAAAAAGGGTTATGAAATAGGTGAGACAGAGAAGCATGGCAGATCTGTAGACAGTAATAGAGAGAGATATACTGTTAATGCAGTGAATGTAAATTTCTAATATTAGACCCTTAAATAGTTATCTTTCTTTCAGGATTGCCTACTCCATTAGTATCCAATGAAGTCACTTTGTATACATATCTTCAAGTACCGAAGGCTATCTACTTGTTTTATATGCAGCCCAAAACCATTTATTTATTCATTTGTGTTTCTTATGGTTCAAGAAGTAATAATATATATTCGATTTTTCATTTTCTTTATTAATTTTGTATTTAAAATTGATTAAAAGATTTTATATTTATGTTTAATTTTTGTATGTAAGAACAATGTTATTAATGTTTGCAATTAGCAAATATTGTTCTTGCTTTTGAGGGTAAAAGTTTGGTGAAAGCTTTTGTTTCCAAAAACAAGAAAAGAATCTCTGAAGTGGTGAGTGGTGACCCAACTATTAGAGAATCGTCCAAATATTATCTATAGTGGAATGTCATGCAGGCTTATTGAGCTCCTACTACTACTTCTTTCCTCTTTTCTTTTACTCGAATTTTCGGTACATGCAAAAACCTAATTTCCATTTTCATTTTACCCTAAAATATCATTCAAAACCATACAGATCAGTGCTGAAAATCAATCCAACCAAAGTCATAATCTAATGTTATAAAACTAAAAAAGAAAATAAGAATTCAAGAAAAGGTTTTGGTGGTTGAAGAGGTTTCTCGACAGCAGAGGGAATATACAGATACCTTCAATCATTTCTTTTGCATTATATATATTCTACATATAGAGAGAAAGAAAAGAAAGTGAAAGGGAAATGGCAGAGACAAGCAATGATATTGGATATTTGTTGCTTCCATTCCATGTGGTAGTGAAAAGGAGATGTCGCTATTGAGATTAAAATGCTGCTATGGGTCAAGTCTGAAGCTCAATTCTCAGCCATTAGAATCGAGTAACAAACAATAGTACACGCATTATATCTACCGCTAAAATGGTTTATTCTTTTTAGTTGATGTGAGAGTGTATTTGTGTATACATATGTGTGTGTCTGCGTGTGTGTGTAACTCTGCGATGATAAAAGAAATGGCAACTTTATTGGCTCTCAAGGGAATGTAAAAAAAAATGTACCAACAGTAGTGAACAGTCTTCATCAATATGTGTTTTCACAGCTTTATATATATATATACATGTCCATGGATCCATATCAAATGAAGGAATCTTGCAACTCTTAGTTTAGCCAATATACTGCCAATTATGTTGCTTTTCAGATACTTGAAAGAATTTGAATTTTCATAAAGTGCAAAAGGGAAAGAAATATAATATGTAGACTGCAAAAAATCAATGGTGGCAATACTTGTTTTACAACTAGAAAATTAGCTAATAATTAGATTAATTATAGGTTTTCCTGAAATTAAACCCAAAACACAAAAATGGAAAAGGAAAAGGACTGTCGAAGCATTATATACTAGACATAATTCTTGAGTCCTATCTGCATATAAATATACATTTAGAACTCATTAAGCTGTTGCACATGTGTTTGAACATGAGAGTTTAAGATAAATATAATAAAGAATAACCTAATGCGCAAAGCATCCCACATTTATAGATTTTATGAAAACAGTTTGTGCGATTCGAATCGTATGGTATTAATAATAATGAAAATTAGTAAATAAAAAGCTCTTGATCAGCTGGGTTGCAAATTGTTTTCTAGATTTTACTTTTATACAAAGCAAATTAAAGAGATTAACAACCAAAAAAAAAAAAAAAAAAAAAAAAAAAAAAAAGGTAAAGGAATGCATAATAACAAAAAAGCTGAATACAGTCTATAAAAATAATTTAGATGATTTGCCAGATTTTAAAAAAAAAAAAAAAAAAAAAAGGTAAGAATGCATAATAACAAAAAAGCTGATCAGTCTATAAAATAATTTAGATGATTGCCAGATTAGATCAAGTAGTTCAAATAAATAAGACAAAAGTTACAGCACTAACGCAACAACAAAGAGAAATAGAACTAGAAATATATAATAAAAAAATACATAAATACAGTAAGTTTCTTCAATTATTTTTCTTGTATCTGATCATTCACACTTTTTACTCATCTCTGTTTTCACGTTCACAAAGCACAAGGAAATCTAAACTTTTTCCAAGCCCTATATCTTTGATCTCTTCTAAAGGAAACCTGTATAATTTAAAACAGGCAAACAGATCCCAACTTTTTGACTTCAATATCAATGGTAGCAATTCAAGACACATTTATCTAAACACTTCTCTAGTTTCTAATCCTGTCGGTTTCCCTTTAACTGTGCAAGATTAACATGATGGACTCTTTAAACTTGAGGTTATTATTTAATTAACCTAAAACAAGGATTAAACAATTTGAAACAGTAGAGTATATAATATTCTAAACATCATTCCAGCAAATAAATCATCGGACATTAGAATATGCTAAAGATTAGTTGGCAACATGTATTTAAGAAGATGATTAGCTAGAATTAATATACAAAATTGCCGAAGATGTGGCCTACAGATTCAAGAATCCTCAGGATCTCAAAAATCCAGCTAAGTTCATAAAGCAAAAGAGAGAGAGAGAGAGAGAGAGAGATTAATAATATTTCTGCATATAGTTGGAGAGAAAATTAGGTTTGTCTTAATGACACAGATATTTTCAGGTTTCTTGTTACTATAGAGGAAAGCTATATTGTTCCTACTTATTATATAAAAAACTCTGATATGATTTTTAAAACTTATCATATACCTAACAAGACAAGACAATATGTTCTTTTTTTAGTTGATCTAAAAGAGCTTTTATTGTCTTTAATTACCTTTCTTTTCTAAGGGGGAAAAACAAAAAACAGATACAAAAGAACCCTAATTTCCTTCTAAAAGCTGCTTTAACCCTTTATTTTTCTTGAACTTGAGCATTATTTTAGTTAAAGTTGCTCTAGTTACAGCTGAATCTAAAAGAAAGCATATAAAAAAAAGGTTGTTTCTATCACATTAAATCTTTCACCTAACCATTTAGGACTTAAACTAAGGCTTTTTTTTTTGCAAAGAAAGCTAATATTGTGGTCTATATATAATCTAATTACATTAATAATCACCATTATTAATTTAATTATCAGATTAATTAAATAAAATTCAAGCTCACGACCAGAAGCAAAACAACAAATCAGATAAATAAGTATATCCTTTGATGGAATGTAGAGAAAAGGACTGAATTAACAGTTACTGTATCAACCGACAAGGTATGGATACAGATCAAAGGAACCTATAACAATTAGTTTCAAATATTATAAATATATTGATTTTATTTTTTTATTTATTTTCTCTCCATCTCCAGATAGTTACAAACTCATTTGAATGCAATGGAACCTCCACATGGGAAAACCATAAAGCTTGTCGATACAACCAAAAAAGAAATCCAAGAAAAAGCCAAAGGCTGATGGAACAATATCAAGAAACACCATAACTAAACTAACTATATGTTAAAAAGAATCTTATTATCATACAAGAAGGGTGCATAGTTATAAATAAATTTTGTTTAAAAAAATCATATTTTGCACCAAATGTAGGGTATAAAGAATAAATACAAGAAACCCAAATTAAAGTTTCACATAATCTTCGGCATTTATTAACAAAAAAACCAGTAAACCTAAATTCAATTTCCATATTCATCAACAGATCCAACGGATCAAACACAGAATATGCATAAACAAAATCATAAACATGTAAATATTTTAGAATTCTAATTCAGTTGTATACTTAAATTAGATTAAATAGAAATATTTATACCAAAGAAAATCGAATCGAATCGGACATGTAGTGGAGATTCTTCGTTTTGGGCTGACTCTATCTGTATCTTCCCACAGCTTTATTGAACCGCAAAAACAAGAAACCGCCTCAGGACCAGCCGTGGGGATGGTGGTTGTAATAGATGCAGTTCAAGAAAGCTGTGGAAGAATACAAAGAGAGTCATAAATGCAATACAAAATTTAGTATTGAATCTAGACGTAGATTCTGATATTAAAACCCTAGAAAGAAAGAAAATCAGAGAAGTGTAGTAGAATTAGAAAAAGAAGGAGAGAGATAGGAGAAGAGAAAGGTCTTAGGGTGGTATTTATAGGAGAAAAGGTCTTTTTTACCACCAATCCCAAGAAGAATATTGGGCCTGAGATTACTGAACCCCACTCGCAATTTTTTTTTTTTTCTTTTTTCTTTTTCGTTTTAATTCCTTCTCTTATTTTCTTACTCACCAAACAAAACCTTACCAAAAAGCTGACTACGTTTGATCCCATTAACCCTAACAACAAATGTAATAAAATAATAAATATTTATTAAAAAATAGACGTCCCATTGAAAATTTGTGCGGTTCTGATGGAACTTCCCGGATCTGACGGTGCTGGTTACCATAATGGGGTCACACGTGTGGATCCCACTTCAGATCTGTCCATTCACAGTAAGAGAAGTCTTTCCTTCACGCGACTTAAGCGAGTGAGGGCTTTTCGTTTTTTTCCTTTTTTGTGTGTGCGTGTGTGTGTCCCGTCGGCCTCCTCTAATACCGAGGCCGGGCACCCGGAAGAAAACCGAGCCTGAAATTTTTATTATTTATGGCTTAGGACTAAACAGGCCCAGCCCAAAAAAGATGAAAAGAATTGAATTATTCTCAAACTAAAAAATGGTCAAATTTTTCCATCAACTTATTCAACGGTATAACCTATGAAATCGTTCTACTAAATATTTAACTTGTAAATTTAGATCTATTAAAGAATTATTGGATAGTTAAAAAATATAAAATTATTATTCAATAAATTGTGTAAAATATATATGTAATTTATTGAGCACTTATGAAGTAAATAAAAAATATTTAAATTTACATTTACTAAATCCAATTTTAGTATATGTAATTTAGAAATTGAAGTATTTAAATTTAGGGGGTATTCATTAAATTGGTAATAATTTTTATAGTAAAATTTCTACAAAATGTAAGAAATCTTATCAAACCACGTCAAATTGATACATAATTATAAATGACAAACCTATTAAAGACGATCTAAAATGGTAATTTAGCAAATATGACAGTTATTCGTGGAAAAAAAAAAGTATTCATATTAAAAAAAAACTATTAATTTAGTGAATGTTTTTTAAAAGAAAGTTGTCATTGCCATGTATTAAATTAAATTGCACTATTGTAATATAGTTTATACCATAGTAGATTCAAAGGGTGGAGAAAAGTCATAAATGACACTCACCTTTTAGTCCAAAAAATATCAAAACGACACAACGGCGAAGGAACGAATGTCTTCCGTTACGGCCTTTTCTCAGGAATTAAATTAAATTAAATATAAATATTGGTGAATCTTTATCGACCCATGTGCATTGATATGTTATTTTATAGATTTCCATAGCAATAAAAAAAAAAAATACTATATGTAGATGAATTCTTAGTTGTAGACTTGTAGTTGTAGATTGCCGGTAGCTTAAAATTGCTACCAATTAAATTTTGATCTTGCACATAAAAACACTAGAAAATTTAACCAATTAATGGGTTTAGTAATAATATATATGCACACACTTAGGTAAAAAAATTACTTCTCTATTAATCACCTTAGCTGATGATAAAATTATGACTCTGTACAAATTTAAGGAATGCAAGTCCCTGTCAGAAAATACTCAAAAAAAAAAAAAAAAAGTAGTTGTAGATGCCGGTAGACTTAAAAAATTGCTACAATTAAATTTTGAATCTTGCACATAAAAACACTAGAAAATTTTAACCAATAATGCGTTTAGTTAATTTAATTATATATGCACACACTTAGGTAAAAAATTTACTTCTCTATTAATTCACCTTAGCTTGATGAATTAAAAATTCATGGACTCTGTACAAATTAAGGAATGCAAGTCCCTGTCAGAAAATACTCCAAAACAAAAAAAAAAAAAAGTCCCCAGTCATAATTAATAATAATAATAAAAAAAAAAAAAAAAAAGTCCCCAGTCATAATAATAATAATAATAATAATAATAATATACGTTTCCTAACACTTTGTTCTCTCAGCAGTTTTAATTTTTCTAGTGTTTTTATCTGCATGAACAATATTTAATTGGTAGGATATTTTAAGCTACCAGCAATCAAGAACAACAACTAAGAATCCGAATTAGTCAGTTCAATGAGTTTTAAATATTGGATAGTTTCACTAAATTTTTTATTATGT